GATAAGATACTCCTGCAGCTGTAAACTCCTGACACTTCAGACCCTTTAATCTGCGATAGCCCCTGATGAGCAGGCCTCTGACGCTGGACGAAATACGCACGCACGCACGCACGCACACGCACACACACACACACACACAATTTATTAATGCACTTGGTCCAAATCAAATCATCAGCAGAGGTTACGATGACCTCTAGTATCTAGTGTAGGCGAAGACTAAAAGACACTGGATCCAGATTACCCATAATGCAACTCAAAAATGTTTAAATTGGTTAATTGTTTAATGGCTTCTCAACTGTAGCAAAGCATACAGTATAAAGTAGCATAACTTGAAAAGACTCAGGAAAGGATACATCAAAAAATATACTTAAGTCAAATACTTGAGTAAATAAATATACTCCACTGGCTGGAAAGACAGATATATGAGCTCCGGTATAAAACACAAAATGTGTGTGTGTGTGTGTGTGTGTGTGTGTGTGTGTGTGCGTGCGTGCGTGCGTGCGTGCGTGCGTGTGTGTAAGGCAGCATGTGTACCAGGATGGCATTAAGCTACAGGTGAGCGAGTATAAGGTATGACTGGGTTTGCAAGTGTCTGAATGTGAAGCTGAAAAAGAGCAGCTCTGTTGAGCCTCTGCATCCTTGGATGAATATAAAAGTTTACAAAAGAGCTTCGGCCTCAGTGAAATCCTCAGAGCTCCATGCCGGCTCACCGGAGCTTTAAATAGCAGCTTTAATGGGATGTTTTGGATGGCGCCTGGGGTAACAGCTCAAACGGTTTCTCCTGTTTCCTTGGCAGTGGTGCGATGGTAATTGTATAATTACAGTTCACAGCTAAAAGAAGGTGCATGTTCACCAGCCGACTACATAAATTAATGATAATTACATAGTCTTTTAGTGTTGAAAGATACACTGTAATTAGATGAGAGGAAAATCATGAATATTTACATTGAAGCATATACCGTGTAGTATTAACGATATCATTCAAACGATAGGAATGTGGTGACCCAAGCAAGGAGGATCAGAACAGACGAAGGTGAAGCACAATTAAAGTATTAAACTACAGCCTGATAGCAATAACAGATGAAAGGTCAACGGATTAAATTGTTATTGGCAGTGATGAGCTGCGATTAAAAAGTTCCAGCCTCAAGCAATATATTTTGCTCTAATTGAACTTATTAATGGCCCCCAATAAACCAAACCCTGACCTGATGGAAATCCACGATACAGCTCTGTTTGTTAAAGAATATTTTCAGTTGTTCCTTTATATAAGCAGCCAAACAAGACCTCCAGTCTTCTTTACAAAGTACTACTCGCTTCAAAGGTTTCTTATAAGATTTAGTTGTAGACATTAGGGGAAACACACTTATTCGCTTTCTGAGAATAAAGATAATGAGAAAGGGAGTTGGTTAGTTTAGCAAAAACTGTAAACAAAAAAAAGGGTTAGGGCAAAAAAAAAAAGCAGCCCTATTGACAAAATTGGAAGAAAATCCTTACATTCAATATACGAGAATGGTACAGACATGATGTCAGAGTGACTTTGAGCCAGGGACGCGGGAAGTCAGTCAGAGTTGGGGTGCGGCGTGCGGTTGCGGTGGGGGGGTGCTAGTGGAGCCTCGCAGCGGCGAAACTGTGGCGGGGAGCCACTGGACTTTGATTGACAGCTGACAGGAAGCCCGGAGTTGCCAGGTTTGATGAGTGACAGCAGCAAGATTAGTTGGACGAGATTGATAGGTGAAGTTGTCCATAAAAAACTATTATATTCGTAAAGTGTATAGCTAATATATATATCAATTAATTTTATATAAAACAATATATTTTTGAGTGGGCTGTATCTGTCGAAATCTGCTAGCTACTGTCATGTTTCCTACAATAGCTACCCTCACCACCCTCTGTAAAGCCTTACGATTGAGGGCAGTGCAGCTGCCGTACCCCCGTGATGCAGCCATTCAGGATACTCTCTATGGTGCACCTGAGGACATGCAAATATGTTTGTTGTCCACTACAAAGACAACCAATGATCTTAAAACGAGTTAGTGAACTTTTTGGCGTTGCAGTTACAACTCTCCGCCAACAGATGGGGGTGCTGCGGCCCCCTCAGCACCCCCCCTTCCCGCGTCCCTGCTTTGAGCACCAAAATCTCTGATTATCATATGTTTTATGTTTGTTTAATCTACAGACAGAAATGTAATTAACCATATGTGTGTTTTGTTTGAATGTTGATAACAACATTCTGGGAAGTGTTCGTCTGTTTTTTCTCAGAGGTATTGTTGCGGCATGTAACCACAAATTGCTGTTTTGACACACCTGTTTGTGTACAGTATGTATATGAAATACTTGTTAAACAGCGGGCTTTGGAAGTTTTGGGAGGGATGTATATAAACTTTATAGAGTCAGGATGACTGTTTCCTGCTGCGTGTAGTCCTTTTACAAAGCTAAGCTAAAAGCCTTCTGGCTCCAGCACACATTAGAGTTTTATTGATCTGTTGCAACTCTCAGCATGAAAACTAATAAACGGATATTGCAAAAGCTGAAAGTATTTCTTAAGTATTGACCTGTGTGGGACTTCACTTGATACATGAGTGCCTTTTGAGTTATTATCAACTGCAGAAAAAAGCTCTTAAAAAGTGGCCCTATTTTGCTCATTTTCAGGTTCATATTTGTATGTAGTGTCTCTACTGTGACATGTCTCCATGCTCTAATGTGCAAAAAGCTTTTTATGTTTCTCATACTGCCTGTAGCACCTCTTTTCACCCTCTGTCTGAAACCAGAGCCCAGTCTGCTCTGATTGGTTAGCTGGCCGGCTCTGTTGTGACAAAGGAGTCCAATGAAGGCTTTTCAAGTGTGGGAGAGGAACTTTGGGATTTTAGCCTTTGCAGACCATTAACGTGCACAAAAACCTATACGACACACAGGCGAGGGAAAACCCCAAAAAGCATAATTCTTTTCAGTCAATATTCACATGTGGTTTTAACCAGTCTTCCAAAGCCTTAAAGGTGGGGTAGGTAATTTTGGAAAAACCAGCTCGAGTGCGCTAGAATTTGAAAATACACAGCCGGAAAAAATCTGCCACTTCCTTACAGAGCCCCTCCTCTAACACACATGAACGCGCACATGACCAATGAGGGCACGAGATAAGTTTGTGCACAGATGGAAGGCTGACAGGCAGGTAGGCCATCCAGTTATTTTAGCCGGGCCGGCTCAGATGATTGGTCGTGCTTTTTACAGCACCACGGCTTCCACAGATGACATTTTTTTATGTATTTTTTGTCAAAGCACTTCAGATATTCATTGCTATCGGGATGTTAAGAGCATTCCATGGAATATAACAAAAAGTGTATCTCGAGCCGGTTTTTCAAACGTACCTACCCCACCTTTAATATCTTACCCTCAGCTGTGCATTGCATAATCACAGCTAATAAAGTCCTGAAGTGTGCCGCTGTAATATTACACTGAGGCACAAAGTAATGCAACTATTCTGCACATGCACTATAAAACACTTATTACTTCTATCATGTGCAGAGTTCAGAATCTATTTTCATAACCACACATCTACACACACCTAATGCTGAAGTGCCAGGTGTGTGTGTGTGTGTGTGTGTGTGTGTGTGTGTGTGTGTGTGTGTGTGTGTGTGTGTGTGTGTGTGTGTGTGTGTGTGTGTGTGTGTGTGNACGGACGTAAACTGGTGTGTTACCTTACATGTTTATTCAAACGGTAAACGTCCCTGGGTGGACTTGAACCACCAACCGCGCATTCGGCTGTTAACCGAAAGGTTGGTGGTTCAAGTCCACCCAGGGACGTTTACCGTTTGAATAAACATGTAAGGTAACACACCAGTTTACGTCCGTAAACACTGGGAACACTGGAGATATCCCCCCAACATCTGGAAATACTCAATCACTTGCCTGACTTTTAGGCTCTATGACCGAGAGTTGATCGGTCATAAAACTGAGACTAAGTGCCTCAGCACATTCCTCAAAGGAGATAACGATTTAGGGTTGGTCGAAAACGTCCCCACACAGAAAAGGTTAGATTCCTAGGAGTAAGACTAAATGAATCCCTAAAAGTTCTCTCCCGACTAATAGTACTGCTACTTCTACAACTTCCTTCTAGTACCAAAGTCCAAACTCAACTCAATGCTTAACAATTTTATTTAAAAATGATTAACCCTGCAATTGGTTGAACTATATTGGACTGCATGCAATATGCGGTTCTAGTGTCAGCGGTATTTCTATTGTGTGTTTATTCAGGAGCTTTCACAATGACATGATTTCACACAGAAGAAACCCACAGTCAGTTTCACTGTGGTTTCCCTCCATGACCGTTCTGTATTTTAATACACATGATAAATGCTTCTCTTTCTGACCACAAGGAAATATACAAATACAATATTTGTTAAGTAAAAATAAAGCAGTAAAAGTGTCTTTGTTTACCAGCAACTTCCAAAAAAAAAAAAAAACGCTCCCCCACCCAACACGCACACACACTCACACACACACACACACACACACATGGAAACCACATGGGACATACAAATATTCATACTGATCCTTATTCACATACTTTAATTATTGTATGCACTGCTTTTTTCCAATCTCTATAAATGATGTCATTTTTGAACAATGGGATAATCATACAGACACACACACACACACACACACACTCACACTCACACACACATGGAAACCACATGGGACATACAAATATTCACACTGATCCTTATTCACATACTTTAATTATTGTATGCACTGCTTTTTTCCAATCTCTATAAATGATGTCATTTTTGAACAATGGGATAATCATACAGACACACACACACACACACACACACCACACACACACCCACACACACACATATAGGCATGTTGCCTGTTTTTCCACAGATGTGTAGCAGATGGGTTTAACACAGCTTGTCTTCATGCAGGAATGAGCAGTTTTCAGTAAAAAAGTTGTTGCAACAAAAATAAAAGTCTAATAATTAGTACAAATGTTGTGTTATCAGTCTTTTCAGATCGTCCTTCTCGAGTTATCGCCGCCATGTCTGATCCAGGCGCCACCGCGACCTCCTCTCCCGCCCCCCCTCCTCCCACCGGACCCCGACCCAAGATGACGAGCAGCGGTCGCTCTTTAGTTCCCATCTCCACCTCCAACTCTGACTCCACCGACATCCCTGAGTTTGAACCGTTTGGTCTGCCGGGTCCAAGAGGATTCCCCCCTCTGACCGGTGAGAGAGGATTCTGCAAAAAAGAGGCTATTGAACTTAAGTTTTATTAAGTTCAAGTCATAGAAAAACCTTTATAAACCCCTGTATGGAAATGTGGGTGTCTTAGCAGCAACTGCAATAAGGGTAAACACAGGATAGGACAGATATGATTGCACACAAGCATAATAACAATAGTTATATTTACATCATATAATAATAGTAGAAGAAATGTAAGAATAAAAGTATGTGAAAGAAAAAGGGACAGTATAAGTTCAAATGCACGGTGTTTTACGTATATACAGGTATGTATAGCTATGGGATTGTAATTATTATATAGTAAGTATTGTACTCTTAACAATAAGATCTAGTTCATACAGAATTTATTAATAAAAAATTGAATTGAAGGAGACAGATGTCACTTCTTGGTTTGAGAAGACTTTCCCGACACTGATACAGTTTCCAGTAGTTTGTACACATGACTGACACATGAATGACATCCAAGCAAGATACACTCTAATCACTTCATGCAGCTGTCGCACAAGATGACAGCCAGAACAACAAATGAGCGGCTGTAAGGATAACGCAAATAATAAGCCATCGCTGTGTTTTCTGATAAACTGCTGACACACTTAGAGAGCACTGGTCTCCACCGCTCTTTTTTTTTTAAGCAAATGTCCAGCATCATTTGATGGCTGAGGCTCTATCTTCCATTGTTTAAAAGGATAATGTTTCATTGATATTAGGTTTTAAAGAAACGGGCAGTTTAGCTGTCCCCTCATGTTCATCGGGGCTAATTCATTTCAGTTTTTAAATAATTAAAACATCTAGGTTAGCTGGATGTTTAATACAAACACACAAATTCAATAGTTTTGTATTTATTTACTTGACATTTTTAAAACAAGAACGGTAGCCTTATGTGTGAACACTTAGGTCAGAAAACCACCAAAAATGTTGTTCTGAGGCTTACATGGGGCTCTTTATTCCTCTCTTGTCCTTCAGACTATCTTGACATCTTGGACGTGGACATGATGCGACTGCCGGAGGAGAACAACAAGCAGCAGCACCACACCAACTTGTACAACTCGGACTATCTGGTGGTGCGTCGAGGACAAGAGTTCGAGGTCAAGATCACCTTCAACCGTCCCTACAAAGCTGCCTCAGACAAGTTCGCTGTGGAGTTTGTGATCGGTGAGCGCGTCTTCAAACTCATATTTTCCATCATACTGAGAGAAAACATTTTCAATGGCCCTTTAGCGTGCATCTGATCTGGGATTCAGCTCTCTTTACTGTGAGGATTGACTGATGCACAAAGGATGCTTCAGTCTGACTTTATTGAAGCGCGGGACCCTGTATCTCCCATTAGATGCTAGCAGTTCATATTCTCTGTTCAGAACATGGTTTGGGTCCGAGATGATGTTGTTGGACAGCCTTATTAGGTTGTTATGATAGGCTGAGTCATAAAGTCTCTGACCAACAATCGTTGAGCAGATTTGAACAGGTGGAGCAGTATCCTGCATGTACCAAGTCTTGATTCGGTTTTAATGTCAAACTTCCCTCTTTTCCTCCAGGCTCCAGCCCTCAGTTCAGCAAGGGCACCTACATCCCTGTCTTTCCCCACAATGAGCGTCCGAGCCCCTGGGAGGGCAGCATCACCAACACCTCTGACAACACGGTCACTATGGGCGTCACGGCTGCTGCCACCTGCACCGTGGGGAAGTACCACATGTACGTCGCCGTGGTGACACCCTTCGGTATCCGCAGGACCCGAAAGGACAAAAGCCGCGACCTCTACATCCTCTTCAATCCCTGGGCCTCAGGTTGGGTTAAGGCGTCCACAACTTATTTTTTGAACCACTTTATTTATGCTTTTATCAGGTTTTCAAGATTCAAGTAGTAATAGTGCAGAATAGTCTATATACAATAATTGGAATATTGATATATATAAGTTGCAAACAGATGGATGATGTTTCAAAAGTTCAGGTGTTTAACAGTCTTATGGCATGTGGGATGAAACTGTCCCTTAGTCTGGTGGTTTTGTCCATAAATATCCACTTGACTTGTTGTGATTTTCCTCAGCTGATGCCGTGTTTCTGGATGATGAGAAGGAGAGGGATGAGTGTGTGATGAATGAAATGGGGATCATCTACCACGGCGCCTTTGATGACGTCGCTGAGAGAAACTGGAACTATGGACAGGTAGAAGAAAAAGCAAAAAAACAAGAGCCTCAGGATTGATTATCTTAAATATCTTTTGACTTATTAAGGTTTTGTTTTCCTTATAGTTTAACTTTGGAGTCCTGGACGCCTGTCTGTACATCATGGACCGGTCCGACATGCCCATCACCAACAGAGGAGACCCCATCAGGGTGACCAGGAAGGCCTCTGCTATGGTGAGGAAATATTCATAGACATCCATTAAAACTCGTGAAAATGGTTTTCAGAAACATAAGATATGCAGTTAAATGGTGCAACAATACTAACAGAATATTATTGTGCGGTTGTTGCGTTCCCTCCTGGACTAGGGGTACAAAGGGAAGTAACACAAATATAAAATAACCGGGAGAGAGAAAGAAAAGAGGAAACCGATTGCTGAAGCCACAAAGTGATGTTTTAATTAATACAAAAGTAAAGGGGCTCACCAGCCATTTTGCAAAACAAACTTAAGTAACTGAGAACAACTTCCTTCGAAAAGAAAGTGACTAAATGAAACATCTAACAATGAGCAAAATACAAGTTAACCTAACAGGTCTTATACAAAGAAACCACACAATGCTGCACATATCACACATGCAGCCAGAGGAGAAGGAGAGAGCGACTGCAGCCTTCCTCAGGTCCTTTATGGAGGCCCTGATTGGGGATTGGGACTTAACCTGGAGGGAGACAATCAGGGGGAGAGGGAGAGAGAGACACACACACACACACACACACACACACACACACACACACACACACACCAGCACCCACTACGGCACGTAACAGCAGCAAAATATTAAATATCAATGATATAGTGAAGGGATTTATGGACTATGTTTTCTATCCATGAGACATTAAGATTGTGGAACCAGCTTGAAATATAATGAGCTGTAATCAATTGTTTTGGTTTTCTCTCATAAAATGTAGATTTTTTTTTCTGGGAGACTTTTGCAGAAAGCCTTTTTACATAGCCATCACTTTTCAAAATAAAGTGTAATTGGACCAACACAAGGGTTTCTACTGTTTAAATTATGTTTTTACTTCAACTCCCTAAATTCATATCTAGGAATTTTACACATCTTTTATTTATTGAATAGAGTTTGTTCTTCTTGTTGAAAAAAGTAAATGATACAGAATTAGGCCTTTTTTAAAGTGCAAAGCTTCAGATATATAGTGCTTGTCGGATGCTCTTTCCATAAATGTCTTAAATCTGCTCTTTGTCACACTCAGCTGAACTCTCGTGATGACGAGGGTGTGCTCGTGGGGAACTGGAGCGGCGACTACACCTACGGCGTGGCGCCCACTTCCTGGACCGGCAGCACCGACATCCTGCTCACCTACGCCAGCGGCAAGATGCCCGTCTGCTACGCTCAGTGCTGGGTCTACGCTGCAGTCTTCAACACCTGTGAGAAGTAGAAAATATTACAAAGATATACTAGTTATTTTATTGATAGCACCTTTGAATAGTGGTGGCCCTGTTTTTACTAATAGGTAAAAACCCACATTTTAGATGATATTTAACTGTTCCAGTGTTGTAGGTAGAGTTAGGGTTACGGTTAGTCACAGTAATCAACCTGAAGATGGAAAATCAACATTATGATGGAAGTATTCGATGGCCGATTAAATGCACAATTTGGTCTTTTAAGTTGTTACAGCCATGTTTGGGTTAATATAGTTTGTTACACCGAATTGGAGCAAAACTTTTGTAACACAATTAAGTATGTTGATTGTAAAACCCAAATATAGAAAAACATTAGCACTTTTTTTGTTGTTGACCAAACCCCTTCAGAAAATTCTTGACATCAGTTGAGAAGGTCCTAAAAGGAAAGACAAAAAGTCATTAGAAAGTAGGAAAAGAAAACCATGTGCAGAAATGAAACCTTGATACAAGTTGTTTTCAATTGATAGGAAAGGAAGCATATTACACACTTTCTCCCCTTTCAACTCTTGTCTTTACTTCCGTTTTAATCTTAATTTCAGTTTTTTATTGTCCTTTTAATGTTTGTTTCCAGTCCTGCGCTGTCTGGGCATCCCGTCGAGGGTCGTCACCAACTTCTACTCCGCTCACGACAACGATGGAAACCTGAAGATGGACATCATCCTGGACGAGAACGGCAGAATCGACCGCAGTCGCACCAAAGACTCTATCTGGTATCACCCTCTATGTAACTCAGCATTACACTGAGATTTAAAAGTAGTAGTAGCTTCAACGAGTGCTGAGATTACAGTGACATTTGTTATGAATAATCAAGGTCCACAGAGGATTAATCCTAATAACTTGGGTGACTTCCTGACCTTTTTCTTTTCAAAGTTTCCACCTGAATATAAGAATGTAATCAGAAGTTTGCTATGAAATCAATTAAGCACTTAAATGCTCCTCAGATGATGAACCCTTTTTCATTTTGACTTCTCCACAACCTTCATATTCGACCGTTTTCAGACCAAAGCCACAAGATATTAAATGATGAAGTTAGCTGCAAACATTCAGCCTTCTTTAGAGGAGCCTTTTAGATTTTTCAAGACTTTTTCTTTTGTAAGGCTTCTTTTAGTCCCACACAAGTTTTTGTTAACAAAAAAAGACTGTAATTATATTTAAATGTTTTTTTTATCAGGAACTATCACTGCTGGAACGAGTGCTACATGTCCAGACCCGACCTCCCAGCTGGCTTTGGAGGCTGGCAGGTGGTGGATGCTACACCACAGGAGACCAGTGATGGTAAGTAATAATAATAATACGAATTAAAATCTTGCTTTATAAGAACAAGTCAATTGATAATCCTCTCTTATTTGTAAAGGCATGTACAGATGTGGCCCTGCCTCAGTCCAGGCCATCAAACACGGGCAGATCTGCTTCCCATTTGATGCTGCCTTTGTGTTTGCTGAGGTGAGCCTTTTAAAAGGACATTATTTCAATGTCATTTTCCGTTAAAAAAAACATGTTATTTTTACTAAAATTGCGTGAATCCAACCCAGTGTTTTTTTTTTTAACATCTCTATTTTTTGCCAACAGGTCAACAGCGATGTGGTGTTTTATTCCCGGAATAAAGATGGCACCATGGAGCCTGTCAGAGTGAACCGGACCCACATAGGCCGCATGGTGGTGACCAAATCTCTAGGAGACATGACCCGCCGCGAAATCACCGATCAGTACAAGTTCCCTGAAGGTCAGAGACTTCATACGACACAAAGTGCAGGGTTTTTAAAAGCCTCGGCTCCTGATTAGAAAACGTTTTTACGAACAAATGTTAAATCTAAAATGATTTGAGTTTAAGAACAGTCTAAAATTAATCTTCCACGACAACTAAAACCCTGAAAGAGGCGCCAACATGAATCCTCACAATGAAAAGTGAAGCACAGTGTGAGGCTTCATGTTAACCGCGATGTTATTCTCTCAAGCAGTCTCTGAGTCAGTGTTAAGCCCATTTGTTTTTCACACGGGGCAAAAATGACGGGTACCAGGTTAATTTGGGATGATGGTGGCTGTGTGTTTGCACAGTGGGCCTTGATACGGCACCAGAGGAACAGCCATGTACCCCTATGTGGCTGCCAGATTTGGGAAGGATTAAGCGTGTGGAAATCAGTTGTAGTTTGTGTCAAATTTAGCTTTTTGTTACTTTGGGACCAAATGTTGTTTCCTCTCACGCAAAAGAACTTCCAATATCTCCAAAAAATATAAAATATGTTGAGAAAACCATTTGAAATGTACAAAGAATGTGTAATTTTGGGACCAAATTCAGACGCAAAAGTAGTCCTTATATCTCCGAAGAAAGCTACATTAGTGAGGAGAACCTTTGTAAGAACACACTTTCAATCCTCCTCCTCTCCAGGCAGTACCGAGGAGCGGACCGTCCTGGAGAAGGCGGAGGAGTACGGCTGTAAACGCGATAAGTCCGATCTTCCCGCGGCCGACGTGGACCTGATCCTGCCCACCCTGGAGGTCAGCGTGGGCGACGACTTCGAGATTAACCTGGAGTTTGTGAACCGCAGCGACGAGCGCCGCACCGTGGACATCTACATCAGCGGCAGCGTGGTTTTCTACACCGGAGTCACCACCTCCGAGTTCCTGTTCAGGAATCCCACCGTGACCATTGGCCCAAACAAAAGTAAGAGTGGGGTTTCATTTATTTCACACCAACAAAAATAGACTCATACTAAGAAGTACTTCCTTTTACTTATCGGATGGCAACAACTGCAATACAAAGAATATTTAAACAGCATAATTGTTTTTTATTGTTTCTCAGAAAACTCCAAAACCATTGATAATTTGCTTGAGCTTTGGAATATAAATATTAATAATAATCTTTATTTGTATAGCACCTTTCATACGACAACTGCAGACCAAAGTGCTTCACATAGACATTTCACAGAAAATGTATCTCACACAGAATACAGATACCGTTAAAAGACATAAGCGTCCTTAAAGCCCTTAAGCGTCTTTGAGTTGTGAAAAGCGCTATATAAATAAAATGCATTATTATTATTATAAAAACAAACTAAAAATAGTTTGCAATCTAAATATTGTGTCTCTAATAGAAAAAGTTGTTATGCAGTGTTATGTTTCTGCGTTCTCCAGGTGTGAAGGAGCCGGTGACAGTCGAGTCAAAGGCCTACATGAAGCATCTGGTGGAACAGGCAAACATCAACTTCATCGCCACTGGGAAGGTCCAGGAGACCGGGCAGATCATCACCGCCATGAAAGTCGTCACCCTGCACAACCCCAAACTCACCATCACGGTCTGAAACTATGCTTACTTTCTTTCTGACTATACGTAAAACTAATCTTATTACTTGGCTTTAGCTTTTCGGTACAAATCCTGAGTCCAGAAAGTAATTTTTACGACTTCTTGTATACTCCAAGTGGCTAATAAATTCAACAAATTGACTTTAGGCCATAAGACTGTTAAACACCTGAACTAGAACATCCATAACATCAGGGACGTGCACAGACATTTCGAGGGGCTATTGCTCTAAACTGGAAAAAGGGCCTCCCCCCGATAAAAAACATAAGACCTTTTGAAAATTGTAACTTGTTTTTAATGTAAAAGAAACCAAACGATTATTACATCAACTAAATTGAACAGTAATTCACATCTCATAACAAAATAAGCTAAGGCGACTACTTGCATTCGGTGACTTGATTTTAAAAATGAAAACCAGGGACATTTTTTGTTTTGCGGTCCATATCTCATTAAAATATCTAATGTTAGTAACTATTAAAGACAAAATGGGGACAATTCTGTTCTAATGTAGTTTGACCTTACCATTGTAACTGCTGTGCAGTCCAGACATACTGATAAAATAGGGCCTCTAACTAATTACCTTAAATAAACTCACTAATTAATGTAACCAGTTCAATATGCATTATTCTTATTCTTATCATCCTTTATGAGCGCAGTAACGGTAAGGTATCTAATTACTTATTTATTTTGCATTCCATAACTTATTAACAGAGATGGTCAAACTAAAGTGGTAGAGACATGGCAGAAATCCTACAATGAAGCGGGACATTGAACTGTTCACCCGTTAGAGGGCGATCAAGAAAAGAGAGTGAGCGGCCCCGTTGAGGGAGTTTACAGATGAAAAGACGCACAATAACAACAAGTAGGCTATATTTAGGTGTTTTTTGTAAATAACCGACGGTATCAAGAGGAAGTAAAGTCCCCTGGTTTGTCCCTTATACCCTAACTGCCATGAGACAACTCAAAATCAAGTTTCCAAAATCTGACACTGAGGTGGTCTTAACGCACCGGCAGATGACAACGCTGACAAAGTGTGTTTCCCGTTTCTCTCTGCGCGCTCATGCGAGTAACGCCTAAAACTATTTGTGGGTTGTATCCAATGTTGATGCGGGGATCAGGCTGTTCATACCTCGCGATATAGATGTAAAAGAGTCAAACTTTAGGTACCTCAAGGTCGCATGCTCCTCGTCCTCTCGAGGGACAGAGTCTCACGCCAAAAAAGGAAAGGTGAGGGCGGGGTTCGATTGCCTCTCGCTCTCTCTGGAGACAACCCAAAGTCTAGGCTCGCGCTTCGCTTCACTGTGCAAATGATCGCCTCGTGGTGAGCTCGCGCAACACAAGTCAGCTGCATAAGACAGTGGAACTTGTTCTTTAGCTGATGCTCTACGACTAGTGCTGCTCTATTTTTATAGTGTATCTTTAAAATTGGCTTCACACTCAGTCAATAAGCCGTGACATATGTACTTTGAAGCGTAATTATAGCTCTCAATGTCGTTCTGAGATATTTAATATATATACTAATTGTAGTTGTAATTTAATTAAATCGAAGACAGCAACGATCTCACACTTGACGTACGATATTATACAGCAATCCAAACTATCTTATCATAGCATAAATGTGCGACAATTGCTCTTTCTTTAGCTGTGTGAAACATTGAATTCATTATAAAAAGTAACCTACTTCTTAAACTGGACAGTTGAGCATAGGTGTGTGGGCGGGTTTGGGGCGTAGATAAAATGTTGAACAGGGCGTAAGCTTCGGTTATCACACCTGGGGTAAATGGGATTCAGGATTAAAGCCAAAAATATAACATATAGATTTATGAAGAAAAGCGTAGGTCAGGGCTATATAAACTAGTGGTACTTACCGCAGGCGTCAAGATCCTGCGGGGCCTCTAGCCTGCAGCACAATAGCGCGTAACATATATTATGTCGCCTTTTTGGTCTAACAATTCAAGCCCGTTGGGCCTCTAGTCATTGTTCATCACGGTAGACATGAGCTGAATATTAACAACAATGCAGTGAATCTGCAAGAAGCGGGGATAAGCTGTGGCGCGCGCTCCTTCATGTGATCTGAAAACCTCCGACCGCAACTGCTCAACCCGGCTCATCAGATATAGATCGACGTGGCTTATGACATCGGTCACTACCGAAAGTGCATCTATTTTATGGGTTATCAAATGACGCCATTACACACAACGAGTCTCTTTTTACTTTTGGTACTTTACGTGTATTTGGATGTCAATTTTGTACTTTTACTCAAGAGCTTAAACCACCAGACTTCAGGGACAGTTCCTTCCCACGCATGGGACTTTCAAACACCTGAACTGTTGAAAGAACATCCATACATTCACTGTCTGCATCTTTTGTCATGGCCACAGTACATGGAGGAGAGCAAGGGGACGTGGAAAGCGGCCGGGATGACGGCGAGTGGGAGAGGGGCGGGGGCGCAGTGCGCGGGCATGATATAAAGGGATGCGGCCGTAAAAGCCGGTGGAGGGCCGGGGGCAAAGACACGGTAATGCTTTACTCGTATATTCTAGGCTTCTTATCGTGGGAGGTTCTACTGTAGCACTCTGGTTCTGCAGCTAGTATGTTCTTACTTCACTTTAATTGTATTTGATGGTTTGGCCTAGTTATATTGTTTTATGTCCTATATATATGTTGCGCTGTTGGAGGGCCTGTGGCCTAAGTTTTTCATTGACATATCTACACTGTACGCTTAATGTACAAATGAACAACAAAGCCCTTGAATCTTGAAGTCAAGTTTTGAATGCAGCACTCTCTATAACTTGTACAGGAGTATGTTTTAGTAATGCTACTTTGCCTTATCTGGTTATTTCATGAGGGGGCACAATAAGCGGTTAAAAAGACAAAGGACAGTACTAAAGTAATTGTGTAAAATAAAGATAAAATAATAATTGTTATTTGTTTTTGTAAAGTTATTTGTTTAGTAAATTCAGTAACAGTGACAGAATTTCATTAAGGTAATGAAACAGTTTAATCTCACTGTACATCCGGGTCTCTTGATTTGATTTAGTTCACAATACATCGTAATATTGTAACCTTCTTGATGAGAGGAAGGATGTGGAATTGTTATGTTGTAAGAAGCAGGGGAGAGGGGCAGGAGAAACAAGCGGCGGATAGGTCCAAAGATATAGGATTCATAATGGTTCACGGGTGGGCAATCTTGGACTCCTGTTGCCCTCCCCTAGAACCGCCCCTGCAGTGCACCGGACCATCATCGCTTCTCTCTGAGCGCGAGTGACCTCCAGTGGTTCGAGCAGCATTACATCGATCAACACGCTTGCTGCTGCTGCTGTGCTGCTGGGCATGTTGCATGTTGTTGCATTTTAAATGTGTCTGACTGGCTCAAGGGGATCGTCATGCCGAGCCGCAACACACTGGGCCCCTCATGAATACTCTCAGTGAAGCTTGTTGTTTAAAACGACTTGAGTTAAGTTCACTAAACTGTTGTTATTTTAAGAGTTAGTGCATTTTCTCTTCCTGATGCTTCTTCCTCCTCCTCCTCTCTAGAAAAGCAGAGAGTCCTCAGCAGGAATTACCGCAGCACAGACTTTTACCAGCACAATGGAAACAAATAGCTTCTACTTAACTTCTCTCTCTTCATATACAGTGCCACAACTCACACTGGATGTTTGATCTTTATATGCTTACCAAAATAATATGAATAATGCACTAAACACTAGCATTTTACATTGAGTATTTCCTTTCATTTAAAATCTTTTGAATTTACACTAATAAACCCCTGCTAATTATCGAGATAGAAGGCATTCGTCGCATGTATT